CCTCCCGCTGTTTTCTTTTTTTAATAGTTGCCACTACCGTCCACCACCCGTAGTATTTCCAATACCTCTATCACTCGGACCACCCCGCTACGAGTCTTACCACAGTTACCACAACTACTATTTTCTTTGCGTTGACGCGGCCACAAAGGTGGATTTCTACTTTGCTTAGCCCAAAGAAAACCGAAACCACTGAAACCCAAAGACAACCGCAGAAAAGTCCCTATTCTAGTTCCTCTCTCCTCCTACTTCTCCTTCGTTAAGTGGGATGCCTTTTCCGGGAGAACGCCTAAAGAAACGCTAAAGACAAGAAACCGAGCCCAAAGAAACCCGAAACCAGTTTAAAGACAACCACAAAGAAGTCCCTAGTAAGTGGAATACCTTTTCTGTTCCCTCCCTTTGTCACTGTCACGCTGGCTTTGGTGCTTCGTCCCCTGCCCTTTCTGCTGCTCCTAGTGCTTGTAAAGCACTCCCAGCAGAAGCAAAAGCAACAACAGTAGAGAAAAAAACGTTAAAAAAACAAACAAAATATGAAAAAAATCGGAAAACAATATCCATCCTTTCTTGGCCCAGTTGCTTAAGGTGTTATTGGTCCTCACTTGATCATCCAGCGACTGTCGCACTCTCTCCTGGTGCAAGAACCGGCCGCACACCACCTGTTCGGGTCTTCTTGGGTGCTTCACATGGCTTGTCTTCCCAAAGTCCTGTCAGTAGATCATTCTTCATGTCAGCGATACTATCCTGATAACTAGTAGTTCCTCCGCCTCAGAAGTGGCTGAAATCCAAAGCACAATTGCTAGCAAACCTCATTTAATTTCAAATCCACCACTCGAGATGTCATTCAAAAGTCATGGTACTCATCAAAGAACCCCAAACAACGAATCCGGAAAACCCCAAACGTTTCATGCATGTCCCATGCCAGCCGGCCGGCCCCGTGCCAGCCGGCGCGTCCTGCTGGGCTTTGACGAAATCCTTCATCTGATTGGGATGAACTTCGGAAAAGCTGGGGAAATCGTGCGCCGAGGCGGCCTCGATGTCCTCTTTCCTGGCGAAATATTGGCAGCGGATGGCAGCGGTTCAAAATACAAAAACATACTCTAAAAAATTAAAGACTTCTAATATTGAGCTTAAGCAAACAAAAACATGAAAAACACAAAACACATGTTACAGTAACTGACATTAACTGACTAACCCTGATGTGGCAGTCGAAAAAGGGAGAACCAACACACCGAAGCCAATGAGGGATTGCCAAATCAGGGCGAGATGGAATTCTGGATCTCTACCTACACCGAATCCATGGATCTCGACAGAAACTCGTCAAACAAACATGTCGTCGTGTCGGGTAACAAAAGGAGACGAGAGTTGTTGAAGTCTGAGTAGTTGGGCCAAACATGACCTCTATGACCACTCTAGCCTCAATGATAGCTAATGCGGTGTTTGTTTGTGGCCCGGCCCAACACGTGTGTTTCACCATTGGATTGATGCATCATGCCCAAGTCACGCAACACACGCCTTGGGGACAAATAGTTTTTTGTCATGTTTTGTATCTTCTACAGGCTACAGGTGCCTAAAGGCTGCCATCCGAATCAAATGGCTCGAAGCCAACCCCCTTGGACGTACCTGGTACGTTGACCGAGAATGGTTCTGCTGCCTTTGTCTCAAGACTGAAGCATGGATCCCTCGATTCATACGCGTTCTGCACAAGAAGAGTGCATTCCTTGTTGAATTTTATCCCCCCAAAGAAAAGACTTCTCACTTCTAGAGTTCCCAAGAAGATACCGGCAAGCGGGGCAAGCGGGAACGCGGTTCATCCCAATCATGGAAGTCATGGGATCTCTTATCCCCCCTAGGGCTCCTGGCCCACCTCCATGAGGTTCGGTGGTTGGGGGGTTTTGGGGGTCTAATCACCGAACCTCATGGAGGTGGGCCAGGAGCCCTAGGGTCCCATCTGGAAAATGATCTGCTCCGTCTTCTGTACTCCATCGACGGACATCAACGGAACCGTCCGCGAAAAACGGGTTGGGGCGAAATGGGGCGAAAGAACAATCACATCCATGGCAGTGGAAATAGCCAGGGCCGTGGATGTCACGTGGATGTGAGGATGGGCATCTTCAGCTCCTTCCTCCGCTGACCGGCACGGAATGGGAGTCCCATCGCACGACGTTCACCCGCCAGAACGAGGTCCCATTGCCCCGGAAGACCACTCCAACCATCGACACGACCGGTGTTTGCTCCTTTGCTCTTTGCGCTTCTGCTCGCCCAGGGCCATCTGATGCTTCAGAAAATGCAAGTTCAGGTGGTTCCTGCAGAACGGCGGCTTGCGTGAAAACGCCTTGCAGAACGGCTTCTGCCCTGCCGGATCGGGTGATAGAATGGTCTTGCACGAAGTAAAACCAGCAAAAATCTCGTTTTGAGGGTCCGAATCCTGGTACTATATATCTCTACAATAAATGAGTTATTCTTACAGGATCCTTCCATTTTCCAGCTCCGGAATGCTCATTTCAAGAATTGTAAAACTGATTTGCTCGGCCCCAGGGCGAAGCTTGGAACTCCCCGCGGAGTTACACTTCTTGGACGCATAAGACCAGGAACCCAAGTCACCACGCTCCAAAGTGGTCAACCTCCGAAATCTGACGAAGGTCCACACACACAACGGGCTACCCTCAACTATTTGTACACAACGCACTTTTCAGTGAGTACATACAACAGCAGGTGTGGGATGCTGCAGGTTGTTTCCTGTTGGTCACGCACACCCAACAAACCCACACAGCCCGATCTCTCCTTTCTTTACGAGCTTGGATCTCATCCCGCTCTTGCAACAAGCACTCCTCGGCACTGAATGCGGGCAGCGAATCATAAGCGACACTTCTTGTATCACCCTGGGCGACTCAAAGCCACAGGACACTTTTTGTGCAGTAGACCTGCAGGTCATTCTTGTTCGCGAAGAAACGGTTAAACAAATCATAGAAATTCCAGGCATTCGCTCTGACTGGGAGTCAAAGGTGGAGGTCTCTGATTTGGGTTCCGTCCTCATCACAACCACGGCACCCATCCCTGCGCACCAAGTTTCGCTCACATGGGAGTCCCAGGCATCCTTCTCAGCCACTGCCTCGGCGGCATGCGCCTCCATGGCAGCGATGTGTCGATCCATGGCCTCTTTGAAGGCCAACTCTTTCCTGAGCGAGGAGACACCAGCACGTGCCGATGGAATCAATCTGGCAAACTGGCTGGAATCAATCAGGTGTTTCAATCACCTGTCAAGTAATATCAGAAGCACCCGTGTCCACAAGGGGTATCAGACTCGACAGTAGCGAAATCTACGGTACGAACCATACCTGGCTGGCAGGTATATTGGTTTTCAGGCGCGACCAGGCTGAGTTGATATGGACCTGAATACTTTTGTTCTCAGATCTTGTGGCGGCAAGATAAAACAGGATGACCTGTGCCTCAACAAAAGCAATGTCTGTCGAGGCTGCAGGCATGTTGTTATTTGTTCATACCCGGTCAATTTAGTTGATGCTAATAAAGGCGGTTCTGATTGCCTGCACATGGTCTCCAAAATCTTATTGACCTTGTTGGAAGACACTTACTATCTGTTCATTTTGGAAAGCGTTGCCACGGGTATGTGCGCTGAAATCAGTTCTTCCCAGCTCAACGGTGACTTACAACGGTGGCTGTCTATGACAGCGCTTTCTTGTTCCAAAGGGGGGAGGAATGTGTCTGTTGGGTACAACGAAAAACAAACACAAAGTTCTAGTGTTAGGGCTCAACAGCAAACAATATCAAACAATGACCATCGCACATCCATGACGGATCACAAGACGGTTGAAGTTAAACTTTTCTACAGATCCAAGTACCTTCTCAGAAGGTGATTGAACCTCAAAACATTCCCTGGCGCGATTTCGCTGGCCGTGGACGAAAACTGCTCGCCGCTGCTTGGAGGACCCAAGCAGGTGGAGGACTTCACTCTGTAGACTCACCCTCTGAAACCCTTCCGTTTCAGGGCACCTGGTCTCTTTGAGTACCACCTAAGCGCCGGTTGGCCAAAATACAAGTGGCGCCTGTTGGGCAAAATGCAAAACGACTGACTGTGGAAGAGCCTGCCGCAGCTGGCCATAGCAGTGAGTGAAGGCTACTGAAGTTGGACACATGAACCCGCAGGACTTGCAGACACATCCCCTTGGATCATCTTGGATCCACTTTGCAAAAGGGTGACCACGTGGCTTTCTTGTAGATGTCTTTTGGACGCTGATTGTGAAAAGCAGGATCTCAGACTGGTGGAATGAGAGAGAGAGAGAGGGAGACCAAGCCAAATGGACAAATAGACTTTCAGCAGGACCCTCTGATTCAGCAAAATGGCCCACTTGGAGTGTCAGTTCATACCTCGGAAAATAGCAAGTACATATACAAGTCCCAAGTACCTGTTTCTTATTGTTTCTTGTATGGGTCAAGTCCCATCTTCTAGGCTACGAAGGGTCCAAAGCAGCGATCGCTTCGGGAAAAATGGTACCGACTTCGCGCTTGCGGCGCACGGGCCGGCGGATCCATTTGGCCGTCCAGGTGGCTTAAACTGCAGCGCCGTGAGGCCCAAACTGGGCGCACTCTGCGAGGCTGACATCTCTTCTCCGCCTTGGGCATCTCGGTGACTGGACTGGTGTGACTGGAGTGACTGGACTTCGGGTGTGACTGGAGTGACATTGTGATGCATTCTTCCCGAGAGAATCCCGTAAAAATGGATATCAGAAGATGGAGACCCCCCAGTGACGCAATCTTACAAAGGTCCCTTTCCCATGAGTCTTTGCAATTTTCCCCAAAAAGAAAACTTAAGGATCTTGTGGGGGTTCTCTCTCTCTCTCTCTCGGCTTGACGTACTTTTTGCGGGGAGTGTTGGAAACCAACAAATGAATATTTCCTGGAGAACAACGAGGAACTTGGGGTCTCAAAACACTGGCAAGACACATTTGTCTCGAAGACCAGCCGCTTATTTTTGGGCTCTGGGCGTTGAAGACAAGTATCGGTGGTGTCCTTGAACCATCGATCTTGGACATCCAGCATTTACCGAGGTTGAATGAGGTCTTTGAACATATTTTGGGGGTTGCAGTGACCAAAACATCTTCCGAAGACATCAAACGAATCCATACCGTAAGCATGAGGCAGGTAGCCAACCAGGTCATTTCGATGAAGCGAAAGGTACGAAGTTGGTCTGTGGACAAGTAGGGGTTCCCAGAATATGCTCACTTAGGAAAAATACACCTTGTTGTTGTTGATCAGCCGATTTTCTTGAACATGTGCCCAATTTTGGAGTCATTTCATTCATGACCCTTGAAACGGTTGCACTCAACTTCTAGCCGGGCGCTCACCCTGGTGTCCGACCTCTTCCTTAGTGTTCCATAAATACGTTTTCATCCACCTGCCGCAACTCGTTTGGCCAACGCCGCCTGCCTGCGGCATCCTTTGCAGCGCCCGGTCCTGGATGTTTTGAGTGCGAGGCAGCTGGTGTTTCCACTTTGGCACTGAGGTCCGAGACCATCCGAGACCCTTCAGATGGTGTTGGAGGTGGGGGAAAGAACTCTTGAACTCAGGACGAGTGTGCATTTTTGGCGGTGACGAGTTTGGGTGGACAAAGTGGATGATCCGGGTCTGCCGAACTCTTCTGTCTGTCAGTCAGGTCACCGTATGCGATATGCTAAAACACAAACAGTGTGTATACCCTGGAAGTCCAAAGACTAAACTTTCCATGCCCTTTACGTAAAAGACCTATAAAGTATACCGTTTTGTAAACCACGTTGACCACGGCTGCAACCACGCACATGCTGGCCCGTTTATCTTTTTCTTCGATCAAGCGATCGTCAAAGATCACTTTCTGGCCATGGATGATTTGTTGAGCCTCAGATAGTCAAATAGTTGTGAGGCCATGTTAACAGGATTCCGGAAAGTCTTTCACCTGATCATGCATTTCAAAGACTAGGAACTTCCTCACTTTATTTTTCAATGTCCACAAACGGAGCTTTGACATCTTCAAAGACCAAGATCGTTGGTGACTCGCATGGGCTCTCAGGATTGTTCCTAGGATGTGAGGTTGAACAATGCCATGCGCAACATGTTACCACACATGACACCACATGTGACATGCACAGCTAGAAGAAACAGCTAGAGTACTTCGCATGGCGCCCATGTTGTCTTCATCGACGTAGCAATGATGATATCTGAAGTTTGTTCCTGCCAGTGCAGTTGATTGAAAGGAAGCTTGGCCGCATGATGCCGCATGCGAACTTCATCCAAGAACTGACGGGCATTGATAAATATCGATCTAAGACTCTAGATTGTTGATTTCTAAATGCCACAGAGTATCTGTGGGCACGAACCTGTTGGAGAAGATGTCCCAATGCCTCAGGAGTGGCAACGATAGCTAAGCGGATAACGCACTGGGAATTCCAGTACCCTTTGATCGATACTTTTGCTGCTGGGATACATGTACCTTTGGACGTATGGTGAAGTGAAGCTTGCCAAGCCTGGAAATTGGGGGATGAAGTTTGTTTGACTTCGAAAGACCAAATTTCTAAAAGCCCTTCAGTGAAATTGACAATGAATGCAGGCCTCGCACTCAAGGAATTGAGGAGCAAAAGCGATCGAGCAAAAAGTATTCCTTCCCGGAGAATATCATCAGCTTGTTGCTGTGACCTAGGACTATAGGAGAACTTAAAGCACACGCACACACCCGCACACACACAAAAAACTATTTTCATACCAAGAAGTTGCTTGCACGTAATTGTTTCAAGTCACAGGAACCGGGGGTACGCCTCGACAAAGTGCATGAACCTGGAAAAAGCTGTCCTCATCATGGCATTTCTTGGCACCAAGCGCAAAACTAGGCACTGCAAATTTTTTTGTACATGTGCACCAAACGCAACTTAGAATCATCATGACTGATGCGTGGCCAAATCGTTCGTTATGTGGATTAGCCGCTGCAGCTCTCTTCAAAACGCTCTCAAGCCAAAGCTGTATGCACCTATTGTTGTACGCTTTCGCAGTCATCAGGATATCCCCACCCTTTTTCACAACCTCACTTGTTCACTGGGTTTGCAGGCTTAGCGAACAGCACTCTTGCAGAATTTCTTTGGAAAAACAAATTCATCAAAGTCACAAGCTTCACCGTAAAAGGTGGCTGGCTGCAAGGGATTCTTGACCCTTTGCAAAACGCTCTGAAGTCCTTGTAGGCCAAATCCATGCCCTCCTGCAAAGCAGCAAAAGTTTAGTACAACATATAAACAGGTCACTGATACACGCTTCAATCCTGCAGACTTCTCTGATCTGGTTGCCCAAAAATAATGCTCTCTTCGAGGATCATCATCCTAGGATAGATCAATTTTTAAAACTTGCACAGCGATGTGCAATGAGCGGCTTGTCCACATGCTACCAAAATTCAGGCAGCTTCCATTCACCGAATACAGGATGCCGAGATTAATGACATGCATGGAGCACCAAGCTATGCAAGTATGGTGAAAATTCTTCAAAAGAAGCAGTGGACCTAAGCTGTGCATGTGCAAAAGAGCAAACAAAATTGCATGCATAATAATCGATATTAGTAATCATGTCATATTTTGGCGAATATGTCCACTTTCTCGAACCCAAATTGGCAACATGCTTCGGCACAGCTGTGGAGGTACGCTAGTACATGAAAATTTGCCAGGTTGCTGGGATCTTTCTTGGGCATCTCCAAGCGTAGAAATTGGCCCAAAGTGTACTGACGCTGCCAAAGGGGACTCGTTTCCAAGATGTTGTAGTATCGACATTCGCCGGATCGATACGCCGGGCAGCAAAAGCAAACAGGCTTGTTTTTTCCTGCTTGCCATGTCGAGTTGAACGCAAATACATGCTTGTGGTGCAACCAGTCGCCTCGAAGTTCAACTACGCTGAATCTCTTCCCTGTGATTCTCTGACCAACTCGGTCCTGGAACTTACCACTGAAACTTTCTCCATGAGGGCCACATGCGGGGTAGCGATCTTCCGACAATATGTTCAGGCTCCATACTATTCGGGCCATGATTTTGTTCAGCGTTTTACGCTTGTACAGCAGCCCTTCGTCAATCGACATTAAAAGCCACCTTGATGCGCGTGAAGAGTGCGGCCGGAAAATTGGACAGTTTAGAAATATTCCTAATGCTTTTTGGGCAGGCTGATGAGCTTGTTGGCGAATGCGGCACGCATCTCCGTAGAGACCCAATGGAATAACATCGGAATCAGCATCGCTATGCACAGCCCATGGTGTGCCACGCTTTCGATGTTCTTCCCAGAACGTTCGCACTGCTTGCTGATCCAAGTCTATGCCCACAGTGTTCCAAAGGTATTCAATTACACTGAAGGGTTCCAGCATCTCGATTGTTTCCCACCTGTAGCCTAATTCCTCTTTCCGGTCTTTCACTGGTGCTCGGATTGAAGCAATCTCCTTAAGTTGTTGATTTAACATGGTTAACAAGTGTCACAATATGTCACAAGGTTTTAGGAAAGCATATTTCGATCAATGTCATGCTGCGGTGCATGCAAAAATAATAATAGTTTGGAACAAGACTCTACAGGCACCTGGCACAGCCGGAGAAAGTCACGTGCAGTGTTCCATGGGGATTTTTTTCCCAATCGAATACTCCATGGATGAATGGAGCTTTCGTTCGAATCCTGGGCACGTACGCACATATATAGGGCATATATCTAGAGAACACACGTGCACATGCACACTGCACAACAGAAATCGGACAGCCAGTACTAGTATTCAGTCCCAGTTACTTTGTAATGGTTCTTGCAATTCCTCATAGCCTGCTTGATGCTACTGACCTTACTGAATGAATCCAAACCTTCATCGAGTCCAGTCCAGTTCACTGATGCAACGATTGTGACGCTACACTTGCGATTTGTCCATCAAATACCCAAACAATTTATCATGCGCAGTCCGTCCACTTGGTTCATTTGCACACCTGCCATTTAAACGCACGGATCCATCCGAGGAGCGCCAGCCACCACATCGTCGACAGCTCCAAGAACGAAGGATGGTCGGCGATCAGCATTGCGATGAGGAGAATCTGCGAAGGGATCAGAAAGAAGCCGATGGGACATATATCAACACGTCGATGATACACATAGCAGCGTAGACGTTTTACGTGCAAGATCTGGCCATAATTTATATCATTTTTCTCCCACAAAGCTTCTTCGATGTTTCAATTGGTGTGTGTGGAGTCACACACATCCGAGACGAAAATAACCCCGATGCCATGTAGCAGGTTCAACATCTCAGGAGATGAGCCTATCCCGCCACTGACACATGTGCAACTTTATTGCAGGTCAAAAGCAACAATCGCGTTTCATGCTTCGTTTTTGCATGCGTGCATGTTTCATGAAACGTTTTAAACTTGAATCCATAGACCTGTCGCTTCCCGAAACCCCTCCAGTTCACATTCGTGATCTGGCATTGCGCCAAGACTTGATGACAGTCTGGGCTCCATCAGCCACCACGTCCATCTCCTCAACCTTCCGGAATTCTGGCTTTTTGATTCTTTTGACATCGTACTTTACTAGGTACTAGTATACTAGCCCAAGTGAAGCTTTCGAAGTGCTGCACAAAAATCATATCAGATCGATCTATCTAGGTCAGTTGTCCCGATATCTAAGTAAAAAGGGTCATATAGGCCTGATCCTTCTCAAGGACCGAGTCCACTTTCATCTTTTCTGACTTAAGATCAACCTTGAAATCCTTCAGCGATTCCATGATGGCGCTCTTCAGGGAAGGTGACCTGGGCACAGGATGGTACATCATTTCAATAATGCATGGTTGTCACTTTCCAACGCAAAAGAGTGCATCGATCGATCTACTCTGCAATTATTGTAAACTGCTGCTCTTACTTGTAGTCCAGATCACCAGGACAAGCGGCAGTTCATCAGTCTTCATCTCCCTGCGACTGATGTCGGCCAAGCACGCGTTGAGATCAGTCAGCGCCTGGACCAAAACTTATTGGGGGAAGGGAAGGAATCCAATTTAAAAAGGTCTTCGAATCTAATACTATCGATGTGGGTCGGCTTGCAGTCTAGTTCATGCGATACTTCTAACCATCACTCATAAAATGCACCAGCCTTCTTTGCTTTGTTCCGCTTTTCTTGCCTTTTCTTTTCAGCTTCACGTTTCCTCTCCTGTTCCTCCCTCTTGACCCGCTGCTCCTCCTCTCTTTTCTTTTCCTTTTCTTCCTTTTCCTGTTTCCTTTGTTCCATTTTCTCTTGCTTCTCAATCTCCTTCTTTTTCTTAAGCTCTTCTTTCCTGCGTTGCTTTTCTGAGAGTTTGTTTCCCTCCGATTGAGGCTCTTGTTCATGATCATGATCACTTGACTTATCCTTCCTCTTTTTTTCCTTCTTTTCCTTCTTGCCATTCTTCTTGGATCTTCGCTTCTTCTTCTTCTTGGAACTCTCGCTGCTGCTGCTGCTGCTGC